GGCAAAAATGGTAAAGCATAAGCATGAAAGCATTGGAAAAGAGAAAGAAATGTTTCATTATTTTTCATTGGGAAGATTCTTTGATCATAAGCTGCTGGGAACAAAAACATTTTTTTAATTTAAAGGAGCCAACCGTTTCTCAGGTTTTCAGAGTTTCTTCTAGAGCCAGAGAGCATAGAGACTAAATGCTGCCTCTACTTGAACTAAACTCCTTGTTTAGTTCAAGGAGTTTACTCTGCTCATTCTGGGTCTCACTCTGGAGATCCAGAATGAGCAGATCTCTGAAAACCTGAGGAGTCTGCATGGTTTATACTTGATAATCAACTCAGAAAGACCATTTCATGCTTTATAGACCAACCAACAGACAAAACTGTCCCTGTGTAATAAAAATGCCTCCTTACCTACCACCAACTTTTACAGGTTTTAGTTTACTGTTAAAAATAATCTGGTGAAACACAACTTTAATATATTTAACTTTGTAGAGTTTTTCATTTTCCATAAAAAATATCTGAGGCTCTGCAGCTTTTCCCAATGACTTATAGATTTATTCTTAGATTTGCATTTTGTTGGCAGCAACATCATGCCACAAATTTGTCTTGGCAGGTCTAGATAAAAATAAATGAAAAAAGGTAACTTTGTTTCTTCATCTTTAGTATAATTTCTTCCTTAATTTGCTTTAAATCGAAAGAAAGCTGAGCAAATAATTTTCACACAATGCAGATGTTTGCTGCAAAGCAATATTTAATCAAATGAGCACATAAGTGAGATTTTTTCAAAGCCTGTCATAACTGGGGATAAGCTCAATATCTGGAGTAAATTCACAAAAATAATTTCTGTCAATTATTTTGTGATTAATTCACAAAATAACTGACATCTAGAGGTGACTTGCTGTAGAATTTGCTTGTTGCTTTCTCAGCAATCTGTTTATTCAACTAATAACTGAAGTTAAATTGACAGTTTTATGATAAAATCTTACATTCAGTGCTGCACCCAAAGCAGGCTAAGTTCGTGTTCATTTCGGTAAAATGTTCACCAGATCTCTGAACAGGGGCGGTTCTACACAGGAGCAAACAGGGGCCAATGTCCCTGTAGAACTGATCCTGATTTGTGCTGGCACACAAACTGAAACTAATTGATCCCTTGAACCAATTTAAGTTTTTACTTTCACAATTTTACTTTGGAAATAATTTTAAAATCGATATTCACTTTTAGCTTCTGCTGTTTTTAGGATAAGATCACAGTTTTCATCTTCTAGATCAGGGATCTGCAACCTAAAGCTCCAGAGCTCCAAGTGGCTCTTTGGCTCTGAGTTTCACTTATTAATATTAAACAATTAAATACTGCCTTGTTTTTTTTTTTGTTGTTGTTGTTCTTTTGTTCCTCACCCCAGGAGAAAACACTGGGCCCCCTGGTAAGTTTGGTCTAGAACCGCCGCTGTCTCTGAGTCTGGTGGTTNTTAAACAAACCTCCACTGTGTAGGATGTTAAATAGCTCAGGTCTGTGAATGCAAATTCACAGCTTGACAGATTCAGTTTCTTGTCAGGAAAACCATGAAGATTTGCGATGTATTTCCGTTTTTCGCTTGGTCCGTTAAGTTCAATTCTTTTATTTCTACATGACACTTTGATTTCGTTGTTCACTGGATTTTGAACCTCAAGAGATCCTTTTAGTATTGGTACTGTAAGAAGAAGAGAGTGGACACATATTAAGACTCACAGACATGGAGAGGAAAACTTCTTTTAGTGAAAATCTTAGAAGCACACTAAAATATAAGAAAGATTTAAAAAGAAAACTTGATCATATTTGTAATAACTGATTTATTTAAACTTTTTAATGACTAATACAGAATTATTAATATACATATTTCTCTTAATATTTTTAGTCTAAAATGTACATAACCAGAAAGAGGAATTACTGATTATCTATATAGGCAATATTTTTCTTTACCAATGAAATGTAATTTATAAACATGGATTTCTCTAATAATTGTATTAAACCTGGTTTTTCTCTCCAGGGTTAAACATCATAAAGATGAACATCTGGACCTAAGATAACTTGTTATTATTATCTTCATAGTTTACAACAAAAGAATATGTATCAATGCTACGATCTGAATCTAATAATGCAATAATTGTAGACAGCCTCATCTGTAACTCGTTAGTTTCAGCTTTGCTTTAATTTTCGTGGATTTTGTGTTTTAAAAACAATCACTAAAACAATGTAACTTATTTTGCATGAATGAAGAAAACCTGGAGAAGGGATAATGATATTCAAATCAATATTAGTTCAGCTGGTTAGCAATAAAACTTACATTGTTTGTAAATAAAAAATATATATTTAATATATATTTAAATTGTTAAAGAAAAGTTTCCTAAAAGAAAGCAGCCATTTACCTACAGCCAAAAAAAAAGAAAACAAATAAATAAAATAAGCAAATATCAAGTTTTAGTTTATTTTAAAGCAGTTAGTGTTTGTAGATTGCATTGATGTTTTAAAATAAAAAAGATTCTTGGTTACTTACTTCCAGGCTCAGTTTTTACTTCAGCTGTAGTCTCATTTAATATTCTCTGGTCGTAGATGGTACGGACTTTACAGATATAATCTTCGTACGGTTTAAGTCCGTCGATGTTACACATTCTGTTAAATTGGGGTCTTTTCCCGTCTTCACCTGTTATGTGATTGATTTCACAAAAACAGCTTGTGGTAAAATATCTTTACAACCATAACTTCAAGAAATGTTGAAGTAGAGTTTGTTTCAGATGTTAAACATTCAATTAAGAAAAATATTTCCATTAAAATCATCCACAGGTCAGTGATAGTTTAGAGTCACATCTGGTTATTTTACAGATCTTTATTTCCTCACATTGTTGTTATAAAAACAATAAGACTGATAGATTCACAAATCTTCCATTTATAAGTTAAAGTTAATTTAAAATGGTTGCACTAGTTAAGATGTATTAAACATTACTTAATGTAAATAAGTAATGTAAGTATATTTCACTTACGTTTCCAGCCTTGCCGACAGCTGCAGCTATAAGAGAGCTCCGTCAGTTTGTCAAGAATACCATGACATTTACGACTCGTTGGTTCCCAGTTCAGCTTAATGGAATTACTGGTTGGACTTTTCAGCAGGAAGTTTATTGAAAAATCTGTTGGAATAAAATAAGAAGCAACAAAGTCCTGATAGTTGTATTTCTTTCCAGGATGTATCAGTATAATAATTTTATGCTTCTTATTTCCAGTGAGATGCAGTAAATACCAACTCACCACAGCTAACGTTGAACTGGACAGGAGGAAGAGTCTGAATTATGGAGCCATGGTTGTTCTTGATGTCACCAGTACAGCTGTAGTCTGTGAACGGCTTCATGTCAGACGGTTC